TATGATTTTCCACATGAATATAATATTAACATTATCCTAGATAATTTAGAGTATTTTAATAGTAAAAAATGAGAAAAAATCGTAACTAATATATATATATATAATAAACAAAGGTCTAGATATTATGTGAAAGAAAATGTATTTATATGAAATAAATTTCATCAGAAGTAACCAACTGTACAATTGTGAAAAATCTACTCTTCTGTATTTTGTTACTGATCTACCTTGCTGGATATTTTGTTAGAGAAGTGTAGATTAAGGTTTTCATGGAAAATACTTTAGATGAAATATGACAAAAGAAAATATCAATTCAATGTTGACAAGATAAATATTCTTCTATACCAGTTTACTTATATATTGGAAAGTAGTGAAAATAAGAAATATTAAAATATTCCCTCTTATATAACTTATATATATATATGTTTATTCAGTTTATAAATATATGAAAGTATATAAATATTGTATAGAATAATAGTATAAATATCGATGATATTTTACAAGGAAAAAAAATATAGCAAAAATATTTTTGTTGTATTTTCTAACTCAATTTTGAATGTAAAAAAATTTATTAAAAAAAGAAATTAATTATATTTTTAAAAAATTCACCATTTATAATTTAATATTTTCAGATTAAATCGTAAGTTTTATTTATTGAGTTACTAAATATTACTTATATTTTTGATATAGAAATATATTTACATTTAAAAATTAAATTTAATAAATAAATTTATCGAAGACGTTATAATTTAAATAGTCCTAAAATTCTGTAATAAAATATATTTAGTAGGTTCTTAAAAGAATTTTTAAACACGAAACGTAAAAAAATGTTATCATAAACTTATATTATATATATTTAAAATAATCTTTATCAATTTACTCATGTAATCATAATCATTTAATTGTATTATTACATTTTACAATAGAAAACTAAAGTAAACTTTCACGAAAAAAAAACTAAAAATTACGTACATTTTCGTATAGTTTTAAATTACAGAACTAAACACGCAAAATGTTTCGACATTAAATTCTTTTAAATTATAAAGTCTAACCACGAAATTAAAAAAAATAATAAAATAATAATAATAATAATTATAACTTTCCATTCTCATAATCCATCATTATTATAAAATTTTAAAACGAATTTTATCTATTGTTTTCAATTTTAAAATGATTTTATTCTTATTAAATAACTCGAATCTGGTAATGATCATTTATTTTTGTATTAACGTGTAACATCTTGCTCATTTCTCAAAGTTAGAAATATATATATATAATAAGTTTTCATTAATGTTCGAATTTAATAATAAAGAAAAAATGCTATTGTTATTATTATTATTATTATTATTATTATTATTATTATTAATTTAACTGAATAATTTTTTGAAGGAAATAATTTTATTTTTTTTCTTTCTTCGTTTTGTCTAAGAGAAACGGTTTTCATATTTATCAAATAGAGTATATCAATATTGATGTTTTTTCCCCTTTTCGTTTTACCAATGACAACTATGATTGATAATAGTTGATTCTATCTATAAAAAAAGCACAATAGACTTGTGATAACTGAAAGAAAATTGAACTTTTTTTTTTGTCTTACAGAATCGAAGATTCATTTAAACTTTGAAATAACAGAAAAAAATATATATATATTAATTTTTTTTCCTTTAAAAAGTAATTGAAAATGAATCATTTCAATAATAATAGAATTTATTTTTTTTAATATAGTTTTAAATTTATTTTCGTTGTAATTTTTTAAAAATATGAATTAAATGTCATTCCTATTTTTCTATTGTTTTCTTTGATATTTTAGATGTTTTATTATTTATTTTGTTTTCCAGGTAGTAACAGTTGGAGAGATACAAAGTGGACCTTTATTCTACTCCTTCTTACTGCTTCGAAGTATTGGTTTATCAGAGTAATTCTTTAATAAGAAAACAAACAAACAAACAAAAAATTATATATATATATATACATACGAACTTTTTAAAGTCTCGTGTACGACTTTGTGGCGCACATACTGTTCATCTAATGTTAATAGGATGATATGGGATAGCCCAAAAAATTAAACAATAATGTTTTTCAATCGTCCTATGGTGAAGGAAACACCGTATATTTCTTCATAACGGTGATCACTGTCCATGTGCCAACGAAGAATATTGGAAGATCTAAACATTCAAACAATCTGATGCCGTCTTGTAGCAACGTGTGATCCCCAAATCAATATAGTCTGCTTTTTATTAAACTATTGACCAGCTTTAGAGCTTAGACAATTCCAAAGATTTGTCTATCATATGCTGACTGCCAAGACATTCATCAAATCACCAACATTGCAGGGATGCTTTTTTGTCCGCAAATCATCATATCCATTATTCCCTCCCGTTTAAATAAAACAAAAAATAAAAAATAAACAAAACAAGACTATATTATGACTACTACAATGTTGTATACTGTCGTACTATTTCATACAGCATTTAAGAATTTTTTGAAAAAAGAAAGAAAACGATTAAAGCACACTGTATGGCGACAGCACATTTTCTCTCCATTTTCTTAAGAATGCCTTTGGAAGAATGTTCTCAGCTGTTTTAAAGCTTTCCTCCATCGTAAGCACTCTTCATCTTGGATATGTCTTGTGAACTGTCGTATCCAAGAATAGACGAAGCTCACGAAGTAAAAAAAAATAATAATAAATATTATTCCTACTTAAACAAATGTTAATTTCTTTACGGAATGTTATTTTATGGATAATTCGATATATGCTCAATGACTTCTTGGAAAGGAAACATCCTATATATAGTTAGTGTATCCGTTATATAAAAAAAATTAATTTTAATGTCATTCGTCTTAATTAAGANAAATAAAATATTTAAATTTATTTTTTATTCGTTTAAATGATCCCTACTTATTGCTATTTTTATGCTTAGTTCGGCCAAAAATTCGCGTACCAAATCAATTAGTTGGTGCAGCAGCTAATACTGACGTTACACTGGAATGCAAACTGGAAGCATCTCCGCGGCCATTAACATCGTGGATACGAAGTGATGGTATGTTACTCCTACAGAATAGAAAGTACGAATTAACAGAAGAGGAAGAATCGTATAAAATCACCATGAAAATCAAAATATTCGAACTAAACGATAGAGATTTTGGTTCTTATAAATGTTTAGCGAAAAATACACTAGGAGAGAAGGAAGGTTTTATAAGACTTTACGGTAAGGAAACGAATTTTAAATATAATTTTCTATGGTTTTGATTAAATATACAAACTCGAAATTTCCCCAGTTAACAATTGTATTAACAGGCTTGCATATTATTACACGATAGAATAAACACCTATTAAATAACATTTCAGAAATACCACCGCCAACGACATTACCGAGGCCAACTCCATCTTATGAAGTGTATCTACCCAGAATGAGAGGTGCTCAAACTAATTCCCTTAATCTATTCGAATTGTTCAGTAAAGCATTGTATCTAATGGTTAGTTCATTACCAAACATGTTGCATATTCAAACTATTCGTTGTCAACCGAATCTCAGCCTTACATCATCATTATTATTCTGTGAACATTCTCTTGTTATAAACGTAAAATTATCATACAATTCAGTTTTTAATCAATGTTTATATATAAATATTTGCTCATATGAAGATAATTATTAAGTATTTTAATAATATAAATCTAAAAATTTTAATATATTTTTTAAAATTCTAATTCTATAAAAATTTATTTCCAGAAAAATTCATCATTATTTTCATATTTATTAAAGTATTTAAAAAATGAATAAATTGGTGTTTTAACTATTAAAAAAGTGCAGTTGTATTTTATATTTATTAGAATTTTAGCTGTTAAATTCCACAAATAAATTCTGTACATTGAAGTGATTTAAAATTCAAGTAAAAATGTAGTTCGATTATGCAACATGAATGTTCGGAATTTAAATGCATAAAACCAAATTGCAGTCATTCATAATTTTATTTATTATTTATAGATTCTCAAAACTCACATAACGATAGTTACGCACAGAGGAAGACGTATGGAGTACCAGCTACTAATTCATTAATGGACGAATCTCACGATTTTCGTGCAGGTAAATTATTAAAAGATTTAAAAAAAATTAATAGAAATTAAACACGAATTCGTGTATTTTAATTTTCAATAATTGATAAATAACTAATCGTTTAATAAATGGTTTTTTTTGTTTTTAGAAAAAACTTGAAATAGTTTGGATCAAATTTTTATTTATTATAATACGATACTTTAGTAAATGATCGAAATGTTCGTGGCTTTTCACTGCTAGTCAGGCAATAAAAGTAAATTATGTGACACCATCATATACTGCGTGAGGTATCTAAGTCTCATAACGACAACCCCCTCACTGGTCAAAGACATATTCCACTTCCTAATCTGGTTTGGATGAGTTTTTATGTTATTTTTTCCCTTCCAAAATTCAACGCTTAAAGTAAAAAAAACGTAAAAAAAAGAAGAAAGGATCTATATGAATTATTGAACGAAACTCTTTTTTAGTGTACATATATCTGTGGAAAGACAGTTTCTTTAGGGGACGGAAAGAAAAACATGTATAATTCACATCTTAGCGATCTTTGACACTCCAGGTGTCATTCAGTTGAAAATTCGAATTGTGAGACTATAAGTGATGAACATTGAGATTTGAATTTTTATACTGCTTTGTCAGTTTATTGCTTATAAAATGGGATAAAGTTTCCTCATGTATATACAATATATATATATATATTAAAGAGACGTAACCTATATTGAATCTATATAATTAGACTATTTTCATAGCTTTTTTATATCCTTATATAGAAATAAACCTTGATTCAGAGTAATATCACTTTTTTGGGGGGGAGAGGTTGCTATCCAAATCTATATTTAATCCTATCCTTTAAGCAATATCGACTTTTGTATAGAGTTTATAGGAAGAAACAGAAACAGTATATTGTTAATATTTCAGATAATATGTAGTAATTTCCATTTCCTTTTTGTATATCTCACGATTGATTTATCATTGATCAAACTATAGCAGTAGTCAGCATACAATCCATAGTGTTTCGATTTTACATTAAAATTCCATTACGATAGTGCATTATGCATTGGAGAAAGTTGATGTTTAATACATAAAGGCAGTACAAACTTATAAGGCAATGCAGGAAAAACTTGAAAAATTATCTGGAAATTAATCTTACAGTTGGATTTTAATGATTGTAGAAATCGTACTTTTGCATGAACAGATAGACAGACGATGATAATAATAAACAAAAATAACTTTATCTATATGATTACATACGGAATAGAAAATCAATCACAGATAAATTAATTATTAACAATTAAAAAAAAGTAGAAAAAAAATTCCTTTTAGAGAAGTATTATTTATCTATAAATATTTAATGCTGTAAAGAGTAATCATTAAAGTCAATAAATTTATTTTAATTAATAGAATTCTTTCTCTAATTATTCCCTTAAGTTTAATTAATTTTAATTTGAGAATTTGTCAAAAATAAATGTAAAAGTCGATACATCCTAGAAAATTTATTTCTAAACAATTATCCCGAATTTTAAGTATAAAGGTGAATGCCAGTAATTAAAATTTACATTTTAAATGTTAAATAAAATATTAAATAAATTAATTTAAGTATTGTTTTAAGTTAACAATTAAATGAATTAAACGAATTCTTGTGTAAATAAATAAAAAAATTATATATGAATAATTAATGGAATGAATATAAGCATATAAATTTAAATGCGAGAATATTATACGGTTAGTAACATAATTTAAAATGTACATCAACTGTATACATGATATATACTACTTACATATTTTATACGTAAGAGAAAGAGCGTAATTTATGTATATGTATAGTAAACAAGGCCAGATTTAGAATAGTTAAGTTCCTGAGTATTAACATATAAGTGACCCTCTCCTCTATCAAATAATAATATAAATTCTTGAGTTGTAACTTGAAAACTCAAACGAATAGCAGTGTTATGCACGTTTCTGCGCATAATAAAATGCAAAGCAACGTGTTAAAATATATGCACGTAACTCATTGAAATCAATTATTAAATGCTCGTAAACACGTTGAAAGTTATGAAAATAAGCGCTTATATATAAATAATAAGAGTACACTCTAACATGCATGCATGAGAATAAAAGCAATACATATTTATGTAGATATAAAATATATAGAAGAGCGTATGAAAGTAAAATTCGAAGCATTATTTAAGAAAATAAATGAAAATAAAATGCAGAGAATTAAATGTTTATGTTTTATTATCGGATTTTTTTTTTAAAAGGAGAAACAAATTCACGGTTGTTTTAAAAATCTTCAAAAGAAATTTGCAAGAAAAGGGAAAGAAACATTAAAGCAAAGATGGCTCGTAATTTTAAAAGTGTATTGAATTATGAATCATTATGCAGGTTATTTGAAAGTTAAAGAAGATCATCATTTATCATACAAAAGATTTATAACCAGCTTGGAATTTGTTGCTCTCTTTTTTTTATTTTTTATTTTACTTTATTTTTTTACGACCATTAAAATTACTAAAGGTTGCTTATGATGTAAATATTTTAATATAGTAATATATATAAAGAGTAATTTAAATGATATTTCAACTTGAATAAAATTTGTATTAAAAAAATAATAATAATAAAAAATAGTAAAGAAATTTATAAAATGTAAATTCTTTTCCATAATTTATTTATTTATTTTTCTCTCTTTTTAACTGCTCCAAATGTAATTATAGAATTTCACTTATTTGTTATTTCAGTTTCAATTTATGACATTTTTACGTAAAAAGTAAATATTATGTGAATAAACAAACTTAACTCGGTCCATCATACGTAAGAAATATTTAATAACAGAAGAGAATGACATTAAAATATTTTTAAAATTCACACACATGAACAATTTATGAATTACTTTATATAAAAAAATATAAAAAAAATTCGTATGATTTATCACTGCATTCAAATACAATTGATGTGACAAATACAAATTTGTAAACTGAATAATGAGTCATTCTTCTTGAAGATATTCTATTACAAATAAAGAATTCTAAAGTTTTAAAATAAAATGATTGATAATATGATATTCAACTTTGCGTGTCGGATAATTGATTCTTATTTACTTCTATAATTATCCATCATTAACAATTTGGTGGCTAACATCATTTAAAATAATTTTTTTTTTCTAATTTTTCTTTTATGTTTTATGACATGAATGCGCTGAGATTAATGAAATTTTTTAAAAGAAATATCTATCAAGCAAATATTTCTGTTTGAATTAATGATTAGTTCGATTATCAAACAAGTTAATGGATTGGAAACATGAATAAGATATTTGATACGTTTCTAAAGTGTATATACTGTATTTATAGCTTAGAAAAATTATAATTTGGTATATTTTAAAACATAAATAATTTTTTATCAAGGTATAGAAACAATTTTATTCTGTATTTATAGGAGTTTCTTTTAAGTTAATGACTTTTCTTATATAAATAAGCGAACAAATGATATACAAAGTGTAAATCTCGATACACAAATCTCACAGCCACTCATGGAAACAAATCAAAATCTGGGATGAAGAAAGAAAACAATGGCCCCATCTGGGAACAGATCGTTGTCTTTTAGTAGAATATTGAATTCTCTAATCACCAGAATACATCGTCTGTTTTCTAATGAGATTCTTAACTTATTTTAGAAAATATTAATTTTAGTGTCTCGCACACTTACGAAATTTCTGAGTGATAAATCAGCTACTTAGTAAATTTAGGAACTTATATAGTAAATAAATAAATAAATATATATATATATATATATATCCCTCGAAGGGGGAAAAACTAATTTTATCAGCGTAAAATTAAATAATTTTAAATTTATATAGGGTAATTTGATGTAACTGAATAATATGTTGGCTTTTACTTTGATCGAAAGATTCAGTTTTTTTTCACTATTTATTCTTTTATTTTAATTAAAAATATAATTTATATTCTAGAGTTTATTTTAGAAATATTGATTATTTATTAATAAATTAATGGTAATTTAATAACATCATTTAAAGCTAAGTAGCAGGATACATTTATAATATTTAAACAGAAACGAGTAATGCATTTCTATATTTGAACGTGTTTTAATTAAATTTATTTTCATTTAAGATAAAATCATTGAATCTGTCAAAACTCTTCTCGATCTCAAAAAATCAGAATTATAAAATATTTTACTTATAAAACTTAAAAATTTATATTTTATTTCTTTCACTAACACGCCTACGTAATTTTATATATAGATTATTTAGTAAGAAACATCAATTATATCGCTTCAATTTTCATTACTGTATATAAATATATATTTGATAATATAATTGAAAATATAAATAATTAAATAAAATAGTATTTATTTTCTATTTAGATTCTAAAATAAATTTTAAATATATTAACATTATGTATTTATAATCTTAAAATATTGTTTATATTTACGCAAGTAACATTAATTTTTAAATAATTTAATTCCGGTTTGCTGATTTATTTAACTATTAATATTTTTATGGTAGAAAAAGATACAAGAATATCAAAATCAGACAGGACTGAAGATATAGAATCTCCAACAAGATCACTGCAAAGTCCTACACATACAAATAAATCATGTAAGAATCGTCACCAGATCTTTTTTTTTTTTTTTTTATCAATATTTATGAAGGAACAAAAGTATATCCATGCTTAAATAAAATAAAATCTACAATAGTTATTTATACAATTGTTATAAATAAATAAATATATATATATATATAAATATATAT